CCTTTCCTCCAGATGCTGCCTGGCTTGCTGTGTCCTTCCAGCCTCCTATTTGTCCATCTTCGATGGGCCGACTTGTCCTGTCTTATAATCTAAGATTTGGGGCCCTTGTCACTGCCAATAGTTTGCCTGGACTAATGTTTGACATTGTCAGGCCTTATAACGATTATTAATTAGGTCACCCACCTCTTCCAAAGAAAAATGAAGCTTGTTGTCATCTTGGTTTTTAAAATGTCCTAAAATCTCCCTCAGAACTCAGTGTGGAACTGTGTTTAACACTTAGAGGGATCTGAAAATGAGGAAATTGGTTCAAAAATCTAAGCATTGCTTAATAAAGAGCTGATATAGATCAGCAAGCACAATGGATGAATGGATCTTGGTGCAACTTAAGACATGGACAGCAGAATTTTGCTGGCCTCAAACTTACGTAGAGCAGACCAATTGGGAGTGGAGCAGGGGAATATCCTGAACGACGTTAGAATTACAAAGGTTAGAGACAACAAAATATAGAGATGAAGGTGTCAACAGCAGACAGGTTGAGACAGCAGCAGAAAGGCAAAGTTATGAAACTGAAAACAAAGTATTTTTAATAGCTGAAATGTAGTTGAAAATTCATCTCTAGTTCAGCGTGAGACGAGATTTGTAAAGGGCCTGACTTAGTCTCAAAAGTGGTGGTGGTGGGAGGGACTGAAAGCAACAGCCAATTAGAGGGAAGTTTGGGTCATCCCGTACTGCATAATGGTTAAGCAGTCTGCAATTTAGAGGCTGTAGAAGTGTCCAGAGGGAGACGGTGCAGCAGATACAGCTGAGTGTTGTCAGTGTACATTCAGAATCTGAATGCATTTTCAGAGTGAGGAACAGGAGAGTGACTGTTAGTGAATTCAAAGTCTAAACTTTTTGCAGTGTTCAAAGTATTCTCACCTTTTCCAGGAAGACTGGAATAGCATCAACCACCACAGCTGATGACCTAGGTAGAGCTTCCATCATGTAAGTCAAAGCTCTGCAAGCATGGTTCATCTGTCATATAATAAGTAAACAGAACAATTCAGTAAATGAACAAACTCAAGATAGATTTAAGAGACTATACCAGTAGGAAATACTTACAATATCAAAGTTGTGCTCCATCTGTAACAAAGTTATCTATAAAGTAATAAAGGAAACTTATTAATGAAAACAGTTGATGCGCATATTTCAATAGTCAAGAACATCAAGATCAGAAATTCTATTGTACGCATTTAGAAACACGTTATGGTATTTAATTTTCAAACAGTGTTAACAGTCACATTTCTGTCCAAATTTAATATTTAATCTGACAGAAAAATCAAGCAAATCATTGTCAGTTGCATAAAACAACAATAATCTCTATCTTCACATTCCAAATCTCAAACACATTCAAAACAAAGCATAACTCTGGACTCCCTGTTGGATGATTCTACTGAGTACGGTAAAATCAGTACTTTCTATATTCTTAAACAGGATTATTAGATCACAATACATTGCCTTGCTAGGAAATTACTATTGAATGGTTACAATTAATTAGTCTTCAAAGCACATCTAGATCAAATGTCAATCTACCTAAAAAAACGATCCTTATGAAGTTTCAACTGGGCTTGTTAATATAACAAGTAATTTAGGTTGGAAGAGATTCAGGTGATAACTGCTATTTGATGTCTGGATATATAAAAAGTCAGAGGCTCTTGAGGCGCAGTGATAGTTCCCCTACCTCTGACTCAAGAGGCCCCTGTTGAAGTCCCTCCTGCTCTAGAGGTGCATAACAGCATCTCTGAACAGATAGTTTAAAAAATTTGGGGGCGGCCAAATTATTGGACCTTCTTTGTGCAGAGTTTATATTAGTTTCTGTTTGACCAAACTAGTTACAACCCATTAAGAGGGGGCACCATTTATACTGTTGTGCATATGGACTAAATGCTTATGTCAGAAATGTGAAACTTATTTCACTGAAATTCTAATTTGTATTTTTGAGAAATATAACTTCATTTGCTACTTTACAATAGAACTACAACTCATGCCCATGCAAACTTTCAAATAATTTCAAAAGATTTCAGTTAATAAAGTCAAGTTGCTTGATCACCAAAGAATGAATGTGAATTTCATAATTAGTTATAAATTAATTGATACAATTTTGTATGCACAATGCTTTGGCTTGAAACTAAAGTTAACCCACACTACTTTTTCACTGCAGATTCTGTCTTTTCATGTTGACTCTTCTTTGCATCAATTTTCTTTTTCCATATTGTGAGGCTATTCACATTTGTTACAAAGGCTATCCTTATTTTTCCAGTTACTTACCAAACCAAAATGTATTTCATTACGAGACTGAGTTGCTGAAATTACTAGTAATGTACCAGACTTGAAACAGCAAGAATGCCAACATCATTCACTAAGTATTCATTCAAATACTAACAGACTTATGAACAGGAATAATTCACACTTTATACTAGATGCTTTCATGACACACATTTGGACCAATTGTGTACTTGGAATATACAAAAAAGCAAGTACAGTCTAATTTTCAGACTGATTACTTCAAGTATCTTCAGTACACAATTTTGGCTTTTCTGGCTATTCTTAAGCTGTCAGTACTATCCTAGGGTTTAATCATGTTCACTGAGACTGATGCTTTACATTCTGAAAGCAATATTCATACTTTGATGTGCTGAATTCAAAACACCATAACAAAATATCACTTCGAACTTTGAATAGAATTGTACTTCCATATTGAGTGTCACAGAAATGAAAGTGCAGTATCTGGTGCATAACAGCTTCCAAATACCAAAATGACTGAGTATTTAATAACTCTTACCAAAGCTGGAACAACACTCTTCACTGGAAATCCTCCCAGGGTTTCTTCATTCCCCATCACCAATAACTGGCACATCTCGATAACTGCTTGAAGTTGCTGACTTTCATCTCCAGTAGCTTGTAGACCTTGTAGGAGTTGCTGTGCCTTTGAACCTGAGAAAATTGTTTTGTTAGAATTGGAAATGCTGTTTTGTAATTTCAAATGTTATTTTTAGCTCTATTTTACTGTCTCAGGGGAGCACTTTCAGTCTGACACAAGCTATGTCATGATGCACAACAGTGAAGACTTGTGCATGCTGACAATTAAAATCATGTTTTATATTAAATTCAACACTTGTTGCAATAATAGCTTCAGAGAAAAAGCATAATGATGATTACCTGGCTCAATGGAAGGATAGTCTGGGTACCAAGTATGGCTCAGGAAAGATAGGGATAAAAAGAAAGGAGTGGTAATGTTGGTTAAGGAGAATATTGCAGAGCTGAAGGGAGCATGGATTCTCTGGAGAGGTCAAAAACAGAATCTACTTAGATCTAAAAAACAGTAGTGGGACTATAATATGATAGTGCGTTCTATAATTTAGTAAATACTGGGAAAGATAGAGCAAATGTGCAAGGAAGTTATTACATGCAGAAGCGTTCGTGTAATGAGGTTTGAAGCTTTAACTATCCCAACGTTAACTGAAATAGTAACAGTGCAATAATGAGAGGTAACAAGTTTATAAAGTGCATTCTGGAGAATTTCCGCCTATCCAACATGGATCTGGGAACAAGATGGCTCAAGTTAATTAAAAGTCAACAGGGCAACATGGTCCTGTATAAAAGTTTAGTTTGCTATGGAAAGTGACATTAACAAAATGAAATAAAGAGTTAACTGGAAGAAAGTTAATTTCAGGGGGAAAAAGAACCAAGCTGATCCTAGTACAAATAGACAAACCAAGCAGAACGCAGAACACAGAACATAGAACAGTACAGCACAGTACAGGCCCTTCGGCCCACGATGTTGTGCCGAACTTTTACCCTAATCCTAAATTCTATCTAACCTCCACCCCTACCTTATACTATCATCCATATGCCTATCTAATAGCTGCTTAAATGCCCCTAATGAGGCCGACACCACTACCCTCTCCGGCAATGCATTCCACACGCCGACCACTCTGAGTACAGAGCCTACCTCTGACGTCTCCCTTATATCTACCTCCACTCACTTTAAAACTATGCCCCCTCATAATAGCTACCTCCACCCTAGGAAAAAGTCTCTGGCTGTCCACTCTATCTATACCTCTGATCATTTTGTACATGGCTCTTGAACTCAATCCCTCTAGTAATGAAAACTAACACACCATATGCCTTCTTAATAACTCTATCCACCTGGGTGGCAGCTTTCAGGGAACTGTGAACATGAACCCCAAGATCCCTCTGCTCCTCCACACTGCCAAGAATCTTTCCGTTAACCCTGTATTCTGCTTTCAAGTTTGTCCTTCCAAAATGAATCACCTCACACTTTTCAGGGTTAAACTCCATCTGCCACTTCTCAGCCCAGCTCTGCATCCTATCAATGTCCCTTTGTAACCTGGAACAGCTCTCCGCACGGTCCACAATGCGAAGTGGTGATCTTTGGGCTCCCTTTAAAGAGGAAGTTGTTCCAGCACAGCCACAAGCGGAGGAAAAATCAAGCCAACCAAAAAAGGTCAGAACAATCTGGGTGAAAGACAGCAAGATGGTACTGAGCTCGATGATCAGCCATGATCCTACTGAGAGGCAGAACAGGGTCAAGGGGTTAAAAGACCGAAAGAACTGCGGAAGCTGTAAATCAGCAACAAAAACAGAAGTTGCTGGAAAAGCTCAGCAGGTCTGGCAGCATCTGTGAAGAAAACAGAGTTAATGTTTCTGGTCTGGTGACCCTTCCTCGGAACTAGGAAAACATTGGTTTATATGCAGAAGATAGGGAGCAGAAAGGAGTAAGGAGTAAATGATTAGTGGGAACAGAGCCAAAAGAGAGAAGAACAGTTGGACAGACAAAGGAGTTGATAACAAATCTGACTAGGAGGGGGAATAATCGTTAATGGGGATTGTTAGTGACTAATATTAGTTTCCCATTACACATTGACTATGCAAAGAAACAAGGTCTGATGAATGGGTTAGGGGGCTAGGACATGAGCGTTTATGTCCTAAAATTACTGAACTCTATATTGAGTCCAAAGGGCTGCAGAATGCCCCAAGCACAAAATGAGGTGGTGTTCTTCCAGCTTGCGCTGAGCTTCACTGGAACACTATTGCAAGCCCGAGACTGATGTTGGCAAGGGAACAGGGTGGTGTGTTAAAGTGGCAGGCAACTGGAAGCTCAGGGTCTTTGAGAGCAGAATGTAGATGTTCTGCAAAGTGGTCACCCAGTCTACGCTATGGTTCCCCAATGTAGAGGGAACCATATTGTGAGCAGTGAGTGCAGTAGACTAGATCCTGGGAAGTGCAAGTGTTGCTTCACCTGGAAGGTACATTTGGGCCTTTGGATACTAGGGAGGGAGGTAGTAAATGGCAGGTATTACACTTTCACCAGTTGCAGGGGAAGGTGTTGGTGGTGGTGGTGGTGTGAGTGAAGGAAGAGTGGACCAGTGTGTCCCGGAGGGAACAGTCCCTGTGGAAGGCGGACAAGGGAGGCTCAAGGAGTTGAATGGCCTACTCCGGCTCCCATCTTCCATGTTCCTGTACAAGTCTAGTTTTCGGGCAATTTTATCCAATTCCCTTCTGAAGAGAAAAAAAGGTGCAAGGCTACCACAGCAAAGAGCAAGGAATGGAACTAGCAGATTTGTTTGAATAGTTCATTTTCAGCATTACTCACTTGCTCCACTTCCAATTGTTCGATGAAAAAGCTGGGACATTCGTGGTCCAAGAGGGCCAAAAAGATGGGGCGGAAGGCCACGTGCCTCTAATAGAGCTGAAACAAGATAAACACGATTAATTATTAATAAAGCATGAGGGAATATTAGTAAGTGGAATTAAACAGCTTTCTGCAATTCATGAGATTTTGATCTCTATTGAGCACCATTCATGTTTCAATCAAAATCAAAGAAGAATGTATTGAGGCTAAATCTTTCATGTGGGGTCAGGAACTCCTCTCAGCAGCACATCTTTGGATCATCACCAAGACTGGCTGTGGCTTCCTCCATAACACCCACAATATGAACCACCCTTGCTCATCTATTGGTGAAAGCCTTACTTTCCTTTGTTAACTGTAGACTTGGCTATGCCAAAGCACCACTGGCTGGCCCACTGGGAGGAGGCAGCAAAGTAGGAATAACATCAACGGGCTAATAATCCAGAACCAGTGACTCTCTGGGGACTCTGGCTTAAATCCTACCATGGCAGATGAAATTTGAATTCAATAAATTAATCTCTAATTAAAAGCTACACCTGAGAGACCATGAAACCAGTTTGGATTGTCCAGAATAGAAGAGAATCCCTACAGTGTAGAAACAGGCCATTCAGTCCACTGTGTGCACACCAACCCTCCAAAGAGCATCCCACCCAGTTCCACCCCCGACTCTACAACACTGCATTTCCCATGGGTTAATCCACCTAGCCAGCACGTCCCTGGACACTATGGTCAAATTAGCATGGCTAATCCACCTAACCCGCACATCTTTGGACAATGGGAGGAAATTGGAACACCCAGGAGGAAACCCACGCAAACATGGAGAAAATATGCAAACTGCACACAGATAGTTACCAGAGGCTGGAATCAAACCCAGGTCTTTGGTGCTATGAGGCAGCAGTGCTAACCACTGAGCCATCTAAAAACTCATCTGGTTCACTCATGCCCTATAGGGAAAGAAATCTACCATCCTTACCTGGTCTGGCCAATGTGTGATTCCATATTCACTGATATAGTTAAATGTCAATTACAGCACCGGGCAACAAGAGATGAGCAATAAATGCTGGCCTAGCTAGCAATGCCCTCATCACATGAACAAACATAGGAAGAATTAGGCACTCCAGAAACCAGAGGATATCCAAAAACTCAGCCTCTCTCCAAACTTCCACTAACCTTCACCCCTTTTCTCACTCATCTACAGTGGCTCCTAAATAAGCAATACAATGTCTTCATGCTTACTTTCAGATTCTTCCATGGGCTCAACTCTCCATAGCTCTAAACTCCAAGATAACCAACTCTCCAATGCTGGCCTCAAATGACTCAGATTTTAGGTCACTCTCCCACACTTGCTATGCCCTCAGCTACAAAGCTCTGGAAATCACTTAACTTCTAATGACATTTTTAGCTTTCTTCTATAAAAATAACTGTTTAACCAAGCCAATCATCATCTGCTGCGTTGTCCCTATCAGCACACTCTCCTCCAAGTCAGAATAGGCTTAGTCTTTAAGAGCTTGCTGTGCAGGAACTGGATGTCATATTTCCTACATTATATGTCATGACACTGTAAGAGTGCTTCACTGGCTGTAAAGCAATTTCCAGTGCTTTAACAAAGTGCAATATAAATAAAAATACTTAAATTTTGTTTTTAATGCAGCTTGATAAATTTTATTCCATGAAACACCTTAAGATGATAATGCATTCAAAAAGGCACCAGTACAATTTTTTTGCAGTTATCCAGCAGTAAGAGTACTTTGCTTACCAAGTGAACAAAAATAATTTTTACCCTTGGAAACCAATACCACAGACGTGGCAACAACATCCTTGAGCGTTAATGGTACAAAGGTAATGTTGTTTACATTAATTCAAATGTTTCAAGTTGGAATGGGGGAGGGAGAATCAGAAAAGAGCTTGAATAAGAGAATGAGGCAGGCAGATGGAAGAAATAAACAGCAGATTCCTTATGAATAACACAAAATAGAACATGCACCATACAGGCTTGCTGCAAGCAAATAATGGTAACTTTACCGCAATGATTTCAGATGTTCTATCATGTACTACAACCTTTTGCCTATGAAAGCTTTAGGATCAAGATCAGATTTAAGGCTCCCTGTGCATTTTCCAATTTGATTACAGCAAGAGATCAAGCCCATCATGTAACACCTTTCACTATCGCTAGTTATCCAGGTGTGAATGAAGTAATTTTGAAATGCAGCCACTGCTATAAATGTTAAGTAGTACAGCAGTACAGTCAGTTCTAATGTATTGAGATAGTTCTGTTCTCATGCAATCTCACGTTATAAGAAATTCACGCAATAGACATGTCATTTAAACTAATTGGGCCAGAATCACGTTATACCTCATACAGGTAAGGAAAATTCACTTTCTACAAATAATGGTCTAAATTTTTCAATCGCATTTAAGCCAATTCATGTTGAACAAACATACATTATAGCAGAACCAACTGCACAGCAAATCCCTCCAAACAGCAGTGTTAAATTACCTGATTTTCTGTATTTGCAATGTTAAACAAGGATGTACATTGATTAGAACACCAATAAATTTACCTGCTTTTCTCAAATTAGCAGAATTTGATCATTTGTATTTATTGGAATGACAGGCATGCCTCACTTTAATGTTTTGTCCAGAGGTCAGCACCTACGGTGCTGTACATCAAGTAGATACTTTTTAAAACAATCTGTGATGAGACATGAACTCCAAGTCTTTTGATTTAGAAGGCACCACAATGTCAATTTAAATCTGGTGTCAGCTACAGCTCAGGTGTCACAAAAATGTGAGGACATTATGGAGAAGAGACTTTTTAAACACATTCGTTTGTATCAAATTGGTAACATCTATCAATACACAATTTTTTAACCACCCCCTCCCACCCAAAAAAAAAACGATGTGGTGGTGCTGATGTTGAACTGGGATGGATAAAGTCAGAAGTTGCACAACACCAGGTTATAGTCCAACAAGTTTATTTGAGAAAACAAGCTTTTGGAGCACTGCTTCTTAGTCAGGTGAAGGTGCAGCACTCCAAAAGCTTGTGATTTCAAATCGACCTGCTGCACTATAACCTGGTATCGTGAACATGAAAATTTAACGTGGAATGTCAGTTCTACGTCCAGGTGGCATTGCAAGTAGTGTCTTTAAAACCAAATGATTGAGATTTTGCAACTATTCTGTTCAAATTAAGAAACTTACTGGATCAGTGGATATTTACAAAGATACTAGAATCCAAACGTGCCAGTTCCTGTTATTATGTAATGTTCCTTTCCTTCCAAACTTAATACCCACCAACTTCAATACAGTATCCTAACAGTATCTGCATCTCAAAGACTAACTCACTGAACTGTGAAATTCTTTACAACAATCCAAGAGGAATGGACTTTTTCTGTACAAGGTGAGGTAAGGCATACATGGCTTCACATTTCAGGGATGTTATTAACTGGATTATAGACAGACCGCCACTTTACAAATTAGATCTAACATTTTCTTACCTTGTAGGCGGCCCATTTCAGAATCATCTGACTCGCTCTCTCCAGAAGTTGGCATTCCAACAGCTCCAGCAACAGAACTAGAAGCTGAAGTAAATAAGAGAATAATTCAATTTTGGTTAAAAATGCATTCCATGTAACAAAATTAAATTACTGTAGACCACAGAATAGAAGTTAATCTTTGAAGCCTTCGAGAATCCTTCCAAAAATAAAGGATCAACTTATTGATATAAATAGTTATTAGCACTGCTACCTCACAACGCCAGAAACATGGATTTGATTCCAGCCTTGGGTGACTGTCTGCGTGGAGTTTGCATGTTCTTCCCATGTCTGTGTGGGTTTCCTCCAACAGTCAAAAGGTGTGCAGGTTAGGTGGACTGGTCATGCTAAACTGCACCATTGTATCCAGGGACATGCAGGCTAGGTGGGTTAGCCATGAAAAATGTGGCATTATGGGGATATTCGTCAGAGGATCAGTGCAGACCCGATGGACAAAAATGGTCTCTTTCTGCACTATGGAGATTCTATTCTAATCAATCTGTCTAAAAATGTTATCACACACCTTTGAAGCAGTTAGGGCTTGAACCCAAGACTCCTGGTCCAGAGCAGGGACACTACCACTACACCACAAGAATCCTTAGGGATCAACTAAAATGCAGAGAACAAAATGTGAACTGCCAGTATTGGCTAGTTGCTGTTTTGAAATGAAAGCAGCATACTAACCGCAGTTCAATTAATGTTCTATTGAATAAAGTAAGTTTACAAAAACTACCTTTAACCAGCAAAGCATTTAAATAAAAGACAAAGAACTGCATAGGGTGGAAATCTGAAAAACAAACTGAAAGTGGAGAAACTCAGCAGGTTTGGCAGCATCTGAACAGCTCTGACGGGTCACTAGACTCAAAACATGAATTCTCCTGTCTACGGATGCTGTAGACCTTGCCAAGCTTTTCCAAAGCATTTCATAACTGTCGAATTTTCCAAGTAGTAGTTATGAAGCTTGTTTTGAGTAACTTTGGCTATGGGATCACAAGGTTGCCACTCCCAGTCAGATTACATCCCTCCACAACAAACTATCTTCCTCTTCACTCACCAAGTTAGATATTCCATCCACATTTACGGTACAGGCTGATGACACTTGGTGCACTAAAAGCATCCCATTTCCCAATAATGAAACCAGACAAAACATCAAGCAGGGCAACATATATAGTTCTCCACTCAAATTCCTGGCCAAACATGAGTACTTTGGAGTTAGGTGAAAATGGAGTTAGGTGAGATAGGGAGTAGGTGAAGCTGAAAGACCAAGTGCAGTGTCTGTCTCAGTGCAGGCAGTTCAGAAAGTGGCATGGTCCTAACGAGCAAAGTAACTAGCTAAGGGATTTGGAGTGCATTGTGTAGTTTTTTTTTTAAGAAAGTACAGTATCTTAAATAAATGTCAGGACTTTAGATTATAGTAGAAGTGATTCAAACAAAGGAAGGTCCCTAGCTAAATTAATTCTCTTAAAAGGGAATAACTAGTTTAATCTAAAAGAAGTTATGACAGGAGACCTCAGGCCTGTGGTGGGCGCCTCTCGTGCAATGTGGTAAGTTAGGAATGTTTCCAGTCATGGACGACAAAATTGGTAGCATAGTAGAGACAGTGAAGAAAGTTTTCTCATATTACAAAGGGATTTTGATCAAATGGGTCAAAGAGCTGAAAAATAGCAGATAGAATTCAAATCTGGATAAATGAGATGTACTGCATTTTGATAAAAAAATACTCTCCACGCATCCCTCAGCAATTTGATAAGTTAGCAAGCATTACAACTTTTAGGCTGAAAACAGCTTTGTGCTTTTTTAGCTTGCTGAAGATCCATGTCTGTCCATTCCGAGTGAGTCTTAAATTCACTTGTATATTGTTGGAACACTGCTTGGATCACCTGATTCAGCCCATGAGCAGTCTTACAATATAAACCCAAGTAAAAATGCTTTTCTGGGGTGAGAAATTGAAGCTGGTTACTAATGGGAATATTGCATTTTGTACCTGAAAAAGACTTCAACTGAATGAATTGAGATTCAGCCAGATCTTTTTACTTTCATTCAAGATAAATCCTAAGTGCAGTATTTTCAGATGGTAGAAGCATCATCAAACCTGACTTTGTAACACTCGAAAGCAATGCTACAAAAAGTTTAATAAAGCTGAGTGACAATATCCGAAAATGGATTTCAAATACTACTGAAGCATTGGAACACAGGACTAGGAGTAGACCAGTCTTTCCAGCCTGTTCCACCACTCAATGAGACCATTGCGGATCTGTGACTGAACTCCATTGGTTTTAGACCATATGCCATAATCTTGCAATATTCATTCTTAGACTTACCATTTTTGCAACATTGCATTCTGAAAAATATTACACATCACTTCACTTTCAAGTCATCAGATCTGATTATAATAGATTGCATTTTTACCTGATGCTCCTTGAGGTACATCTTCTGTGCGTGAAGAATTTGCTCCATCCTGGTTGTTGTCAGGATCTGCCATCTTCTCCTGTCGGCGAGCCTCAGATGCTCCTCTTTTGCCCAGGCCAGAGCCTCGCCGACTATTTCCAGGAATGGTGATAAAAATAACAATTATTTCCACGCTCTAAGTGATACAAAGTAATTGCAATTCGAACTAGTAAAGCCACTATTTAACAATGCCAACATTCACCTCGTGTCCAGGAAGGGTGACAAACATCCATGTACAAACAGTTGGAGTAACAAATGTAAGTTTAGTGACAAATACAATGCAGGGTGAGAATCAAGCTGTAAGGACACAAAGAGGCCGCAAAGAGATGTGAGAGTTAATGAAGTGGGAAACAAGGTGGCATGGGGGAATATATTGTGAAGCGCAAGGTTATTCTCTGCCTTAAGAATTGAAAAGCAATTATTTTAAGTGCGAAAATTCTAAAATGTTGATGTACAAAGAACACCTACGTGCAAGAACAGCAAGCAAATACATTACAATAGCATGTTGACATTTATCTCAAAAGGGGTTGGACTAGAATAACAAGTCTTGCTGGAGTTGTACAACCATTGATGAGACCACACCTGATGCAACGTACACAATTTTGATCTCCAATATCACTGGAAATATTACATGAAATTTCACTAGACTGTTTTCTGAAAAGCGTTATCCCACCATTGTTTTTTTTTAAATTCACTACTGGAATGAGGACATTGCTAGCTGGGGCAGCATTTATTGCCTAGTCACAGCTGCCCTTGAATACAACAGAATGGCTTTCTTGGCCTTTTCAGACAGCCATTACAAGTCAACCTCATTTTTTGGGCCTAGTCATTTGTGGGCCAGACCAGCTAAGGACAGCAGTTTCCTCCCCTAAAGAGACATTAGTGAATCATAGGATTTTTTTTGACAAATCAACAATGCTTTTATGGTCATCGTTAGATTTTAATTCCAGATTTTTATTCAATTCAAATTCCACCATCTGCCATACTCTGATTTGAACTCAGGACCCTAGAACGTTATCCTAGGATTACTAGCCCACCAATAATACCATGAGGCCATTGTCTCCCCTTAAAGGATGTATAACGAACAGTTCAGTAACTTGGATCTTTACTGGCTAGACTTTGGTAGAATGAGGGATGATCACATGCGAACAAGTAAAATTCTGAAGGGTCTTGGCAACGTCAATTGGAATCTCTATTCATATAAAATTAACACCAAGGTACGACATTAGCCACCCTCCAGTCATCAGGCACCTCATCCATAGTTACTGATGATGCAAATATTTCCACAAGGGGTCTTGTAATTTCCTCCCTTACTTCCCACAACATTCTGGGATACATGAGATCAGTTTCCGAAGATTTATCCACCTTTATATTCGCTAAGACCTCCCAAACTTCCTGTTCCGTAACGTCAACGGTTTTTAAAACGAAGTTTATTTCTCTGCGTTCACTAGGCTCCATTTCTTTCTCCACAGTAAAAACGGACACGAAATATTCATTTAGTATGTCTCATCTCCTGGAGTTCGACACAAAGACGACCTCCCTGAACTTTAAGAGGCTCAATTCTCTCTCGAGTTACCCTCTTGCCCTTACTGTATTTGTAGAATCTCCTTGGATCTTAACCTTATCTGCCAATGCTCCTGCCTCATACCCACTCTTTGCCTTCCTGATTTCTCTCAAGAACGCTCCTACACTCTTTATATTGATTAAGGAATTCAATTGAACCAAGTTGTCTACATCTAAAAGATGATTCTCTTTTATTCTTGACTAGAACCTCAACATCTTTATTCATCCATTGTTCTTTAATCTTATCAGCCTTACCCTTCATTTGAACAGGAACATGATGCCTCTGAACTCTCGTCATCACACTTTTGAACGCCTCTCACTTGTCAGGTTTCCTTTTACCTGCGAACAGTCTACTCCAATCAACTTTTGAAAGTTCTTGTCTCATACCATTAAAATTTGCCTTAACCCAAATCGGTTGTGCGTAAACTGCTCGAGGCGATTATAAAAGACAGGATTTACACAGACAAAAATCGATTAGGGACATGGTTTTGTGCGAGGAAAATAGTGTCTCACAAACTTGATTCAGTTTGAGGAAGTTACCAAAAAGGTTGATGATGGCAGAGCAGTTTATTTGGATTTTAGTAAAGCCTTTGACAAGCTTCCACATGGCAGACCAATTAGTAAAGTTAGGTCACATGGGATTTAGGGCGAGCTTGCAATTGGATACACAGTTGGCTTAACAGCAGGAGACAGAGTAATGATGGAGGGTTGCTTTTCGGACTGGAGGCCTGTCACCAGCGGTGTTCTACATGGACTGGTTCTGGGTCCTCTTTTGTTTGTCAAATATATAAATGATTTGGATGAGAAATAGAAGGCATGGTTAGTAAGTTTGCGGATGACACCAAAATTGGTGGCATTACAGACAATGAAGAAGGTTTTCTAAGAATGCAAAGGGATCTCAATCAAATGGGTCAATGGACTGAAAAATGGCAGATGGAGTTCAACCTAGATAAACGTGAGGTGTTGCATTTTGGTTAAAAAAAGCAAGGGTGGGGCTTATACAATTAATGGCAGAGCGTTAGGGAATGTTGTAGAACAGAGGGACTGGGGGGCAGATATATAATTCCTTGAAGTTTGTCACATATAGACAGAATGGTTAAAAAGATGTTTGGCATGCTTCCCTTCATTGCTCAGACCTTTTGAGTACAAGAGTTGGGAAGTCATGCTGAGGTTGTACAGGACATTGGTGAGGCCTCCTCTGGAATACTGTGTCTAGTTCTGGTTGCCCAATTATAGAAAGGTTATTAACAATCTAGAGGGTTCAGATGTTGCCAGGTATGGAAGGTTTCAGCGATAAGGAGGGGCTGGATAGGCGGTGGCTTTTTTCACTGGAGCATAAGAGGTTGACAGGTGACCTGATAGAAGGTTATAAAATAATGACAGGTATAGACAGAGTTAAGGGTAATTGTCTTTTCCCTAAGATGGGGAATTTCAAGACCAGGGGACACATTTTTAGGGTGAGAGGAGAGAGATTTAAGACAGACAGGAGTGGTTTGCGCGTGGAATGAGGAAGTGTTGGATGCAGGTACAATTACAACGTTTAAAAGACATTTGGATGGATACAAGAATAGGAAAGGTTTGGAGAGATACAGGCCAGGAGCAGACAGGTGGGACTGGTTGAGTTTGGGATTATGTTCGGCACGGACTGGTTGGACCGAAGGGTCTGTTTCCGTGCTGTATGACTCCATGGCTCTAAAACACCATTGCTAAATATCACCAATTTTATCTTGCTATTGCAATAGTTTGATTAGCTAGGCGTCCAACAGCACCACTTTTAGTCTACATTTCAAATCAAAAATTCTAAATCTATGTGCAGGTGTTAACAGTCTACACCCTCCAGAGATCCTACACAGTTCAACACCAACAGGTATACCAGCAGAAACTAAGACTCAAGCAAAGACAATTATGTTGTTGCTACAAAACCCAAATTCTATACAAGCACTTCATAAAGGGAAGAATGGTAGTTAGGAAGTAAAAGCAAAATACTGTGGATGCTGGAGAAACTCAGCAGAATCTGCAGATAGAGAAACACTAGTTGGTAAATAGTTAGGAAAATGTTTTCCTTCACAGCTGAAGTTTAACTCTCAGACTTCAAGGAAATTAGCACTTAACTCAAATATTGAGCTCAAATGTAAATCTCTTTTCCACTCAAACAAGTTCCCACTTAAACTTTTATATTCTACGACGAGTCACAAGGCAAAACTTTCAAAGTTTGCGTTTATATTTCTAGATTCATCGGGTTTTTTTGGGATGAACTAGAAATCCTGAATTTAACTACCTACCATGGCAATAGAAAATGCTAACTGACTGTCAATGTTGTTTGGGCCTCAGCTAATTATTTAGCAAAAAAAATTCAATGACATTTTGTAATACCTCATACTGAATCCATTTTAAATGTATCCACCTTTAACATGGACCATTAATACAAAACAGTTAATGGCCCTGTATTCTCATCTAGTATCCAAAGATTTGTTTTAATCTTAGTTCCTGCTAATCTGATGCAGCAGCATCATTCTGGAGCCATTTCCATAGCTATTACCTGACCAACACTCACTGATGACCTTCTGGTTCATAGCCTTAGCCCTACATAGTCCAGTGTTCTCGCTAATCCTTGTATCATCAGCAATCCCATTCCCTTCTCTTGAGGTTCTGGGATACCTATGGGTAGAGGTGGGAGGAGGTAGGTTCAACTTGCAAGAGGTAAGTTCTCCAAGTGGATTTGTGATCAGCTTTTCAAAGGGAAAGTCATCTCCTGGTAATAGATCCTGACAAAAAGATAATGTTGTCAACTATAAGCGGAGTACATTTGGGACACTAGGCTGGGACAGGACTCACTGCGGTAAAACTAGGGAAGCATCATTCCGGCTGACTCAGGGTCTGTCTGCACTCTGCATCTGGAAGCTTCTCCCAATGATTTTAAAACCCTGGCAGAGAGTGGGATGAAGAGATATCTGATCAAAAAAAAAAAAAATGGAGCTGATCATAGATTCATTTGAACAGAACTTAGCTCCTCCAAGTTGAAGCTGCTCCCTCTGCCTCTTGTAACTCTTCTGTACCAATCATATTCACAGTGAGGATTCAAGACAGGGTGATAGCGAGAACTGCAGATGCTGCAGACGGAGAAAACACTGTGGAGCTGGAGGACCAAAGCAGGCCAGGCAGCAGAGGTTCCAAACGTGAACAGAATTCATAGATGCGTGGGCACAGGGGAATGAAAGGGTCCCAACCCGAGACGTCAACTTTCCTGCTGCTCTGATGCTGCCTGGCCTGCTGTGTTCATCCAGCTCTACACTTATCTCTATTCAAGAAAGGGAGGTTGGGAAAGAGGATCGGCAGCAAAAGGATGAGTGAAGAAACAAGACAGGTCACAAGCCTGAGGATCAGCAAGAGGATTAATCAGGAAGAGGCGGAGTTGTAAGCCAAAAGGGGTGGCAAGATGGCCTAGTGGTATTATCACTGGACTGTTAATCCAGAGACCCTAACAATGTTCTGGGGACCCGGGTTTGAATCCAGCCACAGCAGATGGTGGAATTTGAATTTGAATTCAATAAAGATCTGGAATTAAGAATCTAATGATGACCATGAATCCAGTGTTGATTGTTGGAAAAACTCATCTGGTTCACTAATGTCCTTTAGGGAAGGAACCTGCCATCCTTACCTGGTCTGGCCTAATGTGACTCCAGATCCACAGCAATGCGGCTGACTCTTAACTGCCCTCTGGGCAATGAATGCTGCTAGGTCAGTGACACCCTCATCCAGTGAACGAATTTTTAAAAAAAAAAAGAGGCTCTGCAGCAACCAAGGTTAATTAGTGGTATGTTTGGATAGTAAAATGGACTGCAAGCAGTATAACTGATATATATTTTTAAGGTTTTAAGTTACTTCATTTGAAAACATGGGAATTTAATTCGTCAAATTAAAAATTTTCAGCTTAAGGATATAGTTGTTTGATGATACAGAACATGACTACTGCTGAAAAAAATGACCTTCTGTCAAAAGTTTTGTCTTGTGCTAATCAGGGCAATTCACAAAAGTTTTTGTTTGAGGAGGAAGGTCCTTCAGAATCTAGCTACAGCTTTTACATTGGTTTTAACAAGTCAGATTCACTTAGTCTTTAAACAAAGTTGCAGCTACATTGCTGAAATTTGCAACTTTCTGTATGCCCAAAGTATAAACATAAAAGACCAAAGGTCATGCAAGCTGCCATTTAGCTTGTACCACAGTGCCGTACACAAGTTGAATTCTGAAGGATTACCTGGTACTAGCACAGGAGCCCGTGGTCTTTTGCCGTGTGCTCCTCCTCAAACTGGGGAGCTCTGCTGGTGGTGATTCACTGCGTTTCTTAGTAGACCTTCTCAAGCCTTTAAAGAGTTCAACAGTAGACATCAGTGAAAACGTACATCAGGGAGAAATATCTGTGCCATTCCAATAATGTAAAAGCTTTTGTAAGAGTGGCATGTTGGCAGATAGTCTACTTTACCCTGCATTGGTAAATTCTTTCAGCAAAGTAACCTGTCAACTTGTATGGCAATTTATCCCATAATGTGCTTAAAGTTCAAACTAATTAGCTAATTTCACAGCAAGATTAAACAAAGTGGTCATCTGACAGTTCAAACAAAGAAAAGGACGTGGAAGTGTCTATGAATTGGTATGGTTGCAAAACACCCCAAACACCAAGTTTACAAGATTCATGGCTTTCTCTTCACCCAAGTTTAACTCCAAAATAATGTTTCACTTCACATCTAACAGGGATAAGAAAATGCTCCTTTTGGACTCCCTGTAACTAGTTGTTTCTTCTGAAACGAACAAATGACATCTCTTTTCAATCTAAAAAATTAAATTCACCAGTAAGTTCACCATAAAACTTTAAAATTGTCCTTTTAAGAAGCTTTTCTTCCAGCAGACTTGTCCAAGTTAGTCTTTGAAGACTGCTGCAATTATCATAATATTACTGCTCATACCAGGCCGTAGTTCAGCATTTAAGGGAGTTAAACATGCAAGCTTCCTTTTTAAACTACTTCTAAATTAAGTTCATTTAAACAAACCAAGGTTGAAGCTCAGTTATTGTTGCAGCATTTAAATTTTAATAAGACACACGAGGACAAAATCCAGATTAATCACCTACGCTAAATGCGTGCAAGAACACAGACCAGAGGTCATAGACTTGACACTAGTTGAATGTACAGTAAGATTAGGTACTCTCAACAAGGGACAGACTTCAAATCTTTATCCTGCTTGAGGAAGCTGAAGGGTCAGCAATAATTCGCAGCATGAGGCCAGGCGTTTATTTCAAAAGGGTCAAATATCTTAAAGTGCTTGAGTTTCAACTATTAAATCATACAACTGTAATATATTTGCCATGTCTGCAACAGAAAATTACCTGAGGCATGGCACACTTTGCTTTTAAATAAACACAGCAGTACACATCAGCACGGATTATATTTTGTACTTCTAACAAGTCTGGATCACAACTTACACAACAGAAAAGTTTAGCTGACTCACACCACTTCAGATTTTGGTTAGTTCAGCATTACAGTGATTGGTTCATAAGTTGGATCAACAGTTCGAAAACTTGGCTTCAATACAAAAGTTTTACTTTTAATTTTTTTGACACTGCCTAATCCAAGACAAATCAATTAATTTCGTCAACTCACTAGCTAACTTGGCTTGTAGGCCTGAAGGCCCTGGTTTTGAAGTCTCCGATTTGGAAGACCCTGGGAGTGACAGTTTTGCTTTCGGCAGACTAACTTTAGGGCTAAAACGAGCAGCCCACTCAAATTTAGAGGAACCACCAGTTTTGCTCTGCTCCTTTTCTCGGCTGCTTCTGCGAGGACTGGGACTAGAGGCTGAGCGGGAGCGACGAGCTTTATTCTGATCTTTTCCTTGCTTTAGCCTGGCTCCCTGAGGCACAGCACCGGAAACAGTAGCAGAAGAGGAGGATGATGTAGATGCAGAAGAAGAAGAAGAATCAGTGACAGTGCTACACCCAGCTTTGGCTGAGGTCGCCGATTTTGAAGCCAGCTTGGTTGGTTTTGCAGACCTCTCTTCAGCACTGATCGAGTCAGCCACAGAATCACTGTTTACACAAGTTGTACTTTCAATCTTTTTCCTTTTTTGAAAGGGGGAGGCACTGACAGGCCCAGTCTGTTTTCTACTCTGGGCCTTACTTGTAGAGGCTGCTGGGGCAGTTCTTATCTGATCTTGCACAGACTTCCTTTTCTTAGGGGACCTTGTTTGCAACTTGTGTTTTTGTGTTTCAGTAGGATTTTCTGAAGGTTGAAGTGCTTTGGGCCTTTTTGCAGAGCAGGTGGAGTTTGAACTGCTGTAATCAGGGCTTGGACCACGTTTCACACCTCTCAAACTGCTTCTGGAACCGTCCCTTTTAGTTTGTCCAGTTTTGGGTCGTTCTGACCTAATTCTATCGTCTTGCTGTGTCACAGAAGCAACAGATGAAGAGCTACAACTCCTGGAGTTCCTGAGAAGGAAACATTGAAAGATTACCATGCATGTTTATGACAAAAGTTACATACGTAACTCTGAATACAGTAAGTTAGCAGAAGCTTAATAAAGCTGCAAGAGTTCAAAAAATGTGTTTTGCAACTGCTACTTTTAATTCCCAAATTCCAAGATCTTCACAAACATAGTGCTGCCAAACTTGTCAATTACTTCCTTCCATACCAATATCAAACACGTGCATACTTCAAACTTTCAGCAAAAAACTACAGTTAGAACATTTCTGCTGTACACATTTCAAAACTGCATGCAGTATGCAGTCATCCTAAAATCATATGCTGCGGAAAGTATGAAGTAATGTTCCAAGCATCTAATTTCTTAGATGCTTTATTAAGCAAGCAAGCTTCCCTCCAAAATGGAGTTAAACTAAAATGGAATACCACAGAAAACCCACAAGCCTGTTAAAAAAAAAAAAATGGACTTGCCTATTGGAACTTCCTGTCCCTGGGAGTGGAGTCATACATGTTTTCTTTGAAATACTCAGCTTATAATCAGACTGCACCAGCAGACAATTGGAGAAACCAAATCTAAAGCCAAGGGTTCAAATCCAACTGCAAACTTCCCCAACAGGAAACGCTAAGTCCAATCTTGCTTTAAATGTTGCAATCAAAGTTATCCAAGTGTTATCTGCAAGTGGCAGATAGAGAACAATGCAGACATTGAAGTTTGGCATTTACTGGAGATTTACCTTTAAAAAGGAGATCAGAGTTCAATTCCTAGGTTATTGAAAATTTAGCTAAACCCTCAACTTTTCACAGTGAGGAGCAAGTCACAAATTGGAATCAACCAAATCCAAAACAGGATAATTTCTTATTGGGATGATAATAATGAAAATCATTCCTAATAGGATAAGAGGCTGAAAAATTCCAAACAGCAGTTGATGAGACTGCCTTTCACTTGTGCCAAGAAACTGCAGGCCATAATATAATGCAATCATATTTTAATGCTCAATCTAAATTGTTAAAATGCATTGAAGGTTGTTGTATTTCAGTGCTTACTGGTTCTGAAAGAGTGCTTATGAAAGGGGCATAAGAGTCATTGAGTCAGAGTCATAGGTAGGCCCTTTAGCCCAAGAGTTCTCACTTTCCCTTTCATCACAAATTTCAACTTCTTTCCACTGTTTCAGTATTCCTGGATCTGCTACAGCAGACAGGAAGCAGTATTCTCTCAAAACTACAACACTGAACAGGAATCAATATCTAAGCAAAACAGGAGAATGGGAAACAAGGACAAACTTGAAATAACTTGGGAAGCTTGGACTATGTGTTTATAGGTCATGTTCTCCAGGTGGACAGGAAACAAAGCAAGGAATGCAGTGGATATCCTACCAACAGATTCTAATTAGTAGCACATTATGGAGACATCATGTTTATTTTACAGCATCAAAAGCCATTTGGCTCACTAAATTTGCTTCTGGAATACTGAAAATCATTAATTCAATAAAATTCTGTTTACAAAATATCTAATACCTTCGTGACACACGCCCTCTGGACTGTCCAGAGGTAGTGTCTGGCTGCAATTTTGGTGCTTTAGAAGTTGGCCTACTTGGAATCGGCTTCTGTTTCGTCTCTTCTGACTGTGACCTATTGCAAAGAAAAATGAAACATCTCAATTACTCAAACGTAGGACATTGAGAATGTGAAGCAATAATATCTGCAACATACTTGGGCGGGGGGGAGATGTGGAGGAGAGAGGAAACAGTCCTGAATAATAAATTCTGGCTTATTTTACCTGCAGTCCAAGTCAAATTTAAACCTTTGCTCAGTAAATGCTATTCTTTAAGAAAATATTTACAAATAGCCCACACACTCAAGATTGAATACAGGGTACAGCTAACGCCATTCTTTCTTAACCTCAAGAGCACCAGATATTTCCCTGATTTGTCAGTTGATTTCCTTCTAATGGACCACACTATGCCCTCAGCGAAGATTCACACGTAATGCTACATTAGGGCAGTTCTGTTGTTTCTCGACCACCAGTAACTCTATTATGCCATTCTGATAGAAACGTCCACCCAGCTGTGGGCCAGTCAGAACACAAATGTACACGAGAAAAAGCCAGTTTCAAAAATTATTTTTACTTGCCTTCCTCCTGTTGCTTCGTCTTGCGGCTGGGCCCCGGCAGTGTTCCTCTGTGAACGTCGCAGCGACCCCCCTGTATTGTAATTAGGCCGGTTGGACATTGGCGCCTCTCTCCTTAAGGGACATACCCTTTCTAGACACTATCATTCACTGAAACAAAATTAAAACATGAATAAAATGATTTGAAGTAGATAACCAATAACTAGAGAAATTATACAAGCTATGCGGTCATTTAATGGGAGTTGTTTATGAATAATAATGAATTGGGGTAAGTTTATAGTTAGAGTTTCAGCTGATCTGAATCCAACCCTTAAATTTTGAACCAACCTCCCATGGTCCTCTTGTAGTGCAGTGGTTGTGTCCCTACCCCTGGACTAAGAGGCCTGGGTTCAGGTCCCACCTGCTCCAGAGATATGCAATAACATCTCTAAACAGGTTAATTAGAAAAACAGGTCAATAATGAACCATCCTCCCTCTCATTAGCTACAGCAAATTAACAACAAAAACAAAGTTGCTGGAAAAGCTCAGGTCTGGCAGCACCTGTTTTTTCCTTCACAGATGCTACCAGACCTGCCGAGCTTTTCCAGCAACTTTGTTTTTGTTCCCGATTTACAGCATCCACAGTTCTTTCAGTTTTTATTTAGCAAATTAACAATGTTGTTTCCATTGATACTATGGACTGTAATTAAACCTCCAGAAGGGGAGCATCAGGCCCAACAACCTGCACACTCCATTACTTTTCATATCTTATCACAAAGTATCTAGACATGTACTTCAGCTTTTCAAAAAATCAGGTTAATAAGTAAACCGTAGCTAAATTCACAAAGGAGTTTCAGCTGCTCCAGTTCACAGTTAAAGGATGGAGCTTTGCAGGTTCAATTAGTGGTGATCAAGGTCAAAAGACAGATAGTATTACATGGTTCTGAATTCAACAACAAAAATCTATAACTTGGCTGTTTCACATGTCACTTTCTCAGGTCTCTGGACTCAAAACATTAACTCTGCTTTCTCTTCACAGATGCAGCCAGTTCTGCTGAGTTTCTCCAGCAAATTCTGTTTTTGTTTCTTAGGTGCAACCGGCAGCTTTCTCATCAGTTGTTGATGTAAACCCCACGCCAAGATCGGAAAACAATCTGTCACCTTTCAGAGGCACGGTCCTCAAATAAGCCTTCGCTGAAGCCCCAAAAGCTGCTGAAGATGTGACATACACCACCATTGTTGGCCTGTTCAATATTTATTATTGAAACTAACATCAAAACAGCATTGAGACTTCCAAGTTTGCATTCAATTTTGTGCACAAAAACACTGGTCACCTTGACTAGTCTTTCATTAGACATATCCAACTTCACACTATCATAATCAGGTAGCACACAGACCAAAAGGAAAAGCTCTCATTAGATATAAACCCAAAAAAGTTATACATGGGTAAATATATATATTTCCTGCTTAGGCAGAGTTATAAATACAATAATATCTTAGGCAAGAACCACATCTAAATGCTGTACCTAAATCATGGTTGACCATGCATCATGAAATTGCTTGCTATGCACGAAAGGACAAAAAGCACTTTCAGTCACACATTTAAATGTATTTGATCTCAGCTGGTAGTTCTTGGATCTGATTGGGATTATCAACTACTGAGGAACATACTTCAAGGGAGGAATTCACATGTTCCACAAGGATAAAAAAAGCAAACTACAATTTCATCCAAAGTAAACTGTTAAATGTCACGTGATCTCTTCTACAGAAAATAATGCAATAAATCTGTCCTTAGCATTCTCCAACTGCAAAGCAAATGCATCTTTGCATGAAAGCAATATCTGCCAAATAAGCATAAAACTGCTCAAAAATCACATAAGCAGCACTGCCTACAATAAAAGAACAGGAATGAGAAATACAGCAAATTGGCAATTCAGTGTTCAGCTCCAGTCCATGAAGAATAGCTTTCTTAGTTTATCAAGTAGTTATCATTACAAAGGGGAACAGAAGAAACAGATACAATCACTACAAAAAGTTGCTTGGCATGCTACACAGGTGACCACTTGTCTTGGGACAATATGCAAATAAGAGGCAGTAGTATGGTAGTAACGTTTCAAATTCCAATATGGCAGATCATGAAATTTGAAGCAAATAAAAACCTGAAATAAAATGCCAATCAATGACAATCACATAACCATTGCTGATTATCTCTGTTATAAAGACCCATTTGGTTCACTAATGTCTTTAATCGGTCACCCTAGCCGAGGTGTGACTCTGAACCCATAGCAATGTGCTTGGCTCAACTGTCCTCTAGGCATTCTGAACAGAAGAACAAAGGGCAGCGCGGTGGCTCAGTGGTTAGCACTGCTGCCTCACAGCGCCAGTGACCCGGGTTTGATTCCACCCTCTGTGTGGAGTTTGCACGTTCTCCCCTGTGTCAGTGTGGGTTTCTTCCGGGTGCTCCAGTTTCCTCCCACAGTCCAAAGATGTGCAGGCTAGGTGGATTGACTATGCCAAGTTGCCCGTACTGTCCAGGGACGTGTAGATTAGGTGGGTTATAGTGGGATGCTCCGAGGGTCGGTGTGGACTTGTTGGGCGGAAAGGCCTGTTTCCACACTGTAGGGATTCTATGATAATAATTAGGGATGGGCAGCGAGTACTGGCCCAACCAGCAACACCCTCACCTGGTGAATTTTTTTTAGAAATCCAGAGTGAGGTGAGGTTGTGTAAGGTTGCTCTCCTGAAACTGACAGTCCTACACAGAGCCAAACTTTCAGGTCCTCTTAGTGCAGTCACTATTGGTTTGTGCATGTAAATCACCAACATAATTCATGCATGGGAGGAACAGAATGCCACAGCCAATGAATTTACAAGAATGCCTATGAAAAATACCAAGATTGTGAGCTGTGCTTCATTTTATTTAAAAATCATACTTCACAACAAATTAGAGCGTTGGTATGTCTACATCTGGTCAAAATTCTAAAGGGGCCAAAGTTATTGTAATATACTTGTAAAGCGTTTTGTACACTTTACTGCATTAGAGAGATTGCAAATGAAAGGAAACTGTAGTGGTCAATGTATGCTTTTATGAAAGGAGGTTTGTAGCAGAGTTCCCTGTGATTAGGTTTGGGAACCTTGCTTTCCCTGACATACGTGAGCATAAAAATTATGGAATTAGAGATCACTCAGCCCTTTGAGCCTACTCTGCCACTCAACAGGAGGGCTCATACAATTTTAATCTCAACTCATTGCTGCCTATTGCAGATATTCTTTGACCTCTGCCTTAAAAATATTCAAAAAGGTTCTACAACTACTGCTGTTTGAAGAAGCAATCCAAAGACTCAGCCCACCCACCCCCAAGAAATTAACATCTGTCTTAAATAAACAACACTTTATTTTTAAATAAAAACGAAAGAACTGCAGACACTGCAAACCAGAAAAAGAAACAAATTGCTGGAAAAACTCAGCAGGTCTGGCAGCATCTGAGAGGAGAAATCAGAGTTAACGTTGCGGGTCCGGATGGGTCACCTGACCTGAAACATTAACTCTGATTTCTCTTCACAGATGCTGCCAGACTTGCTGAGCTTTTCAACTTCTGTTTCTGTTTAGGTCCTTTATGTTTAAATATTGACTCCCAGTTCTAAATTCTCCCAGAGAAAGCATCTTGCTGCATGCACCCTGTTAAGACTCCTCAGGATTTTATGTTTTAATCAAATTACCTCTTACTCTAAATTCCAGTGGACACAAAACCTTGCCAGTCTAATCCTACCCTAGACAAACCTGGCCCTTTAAGGTTTTAGCCTAGTAAATCTTCTCTGAATGGCCTCCAATATATTTACGTCCTTCCTTAAATCAAAAAGGCCAATATTGTACGCTACACCAGTGAAGTTGCCAATGCGCTATAAATTATGTGACATCGATATACAGGGCATAATTTCAAACTATGGCTACAACACAAATTTTGGAAGCATTGAGAACCAAGAAGGGCAGCTTAGCACTTCTAAAAGAACATAGACAAGCTGGAAGAGTGGACGGACAGGGAGCAGATTAAACGCAGAATTTTTCATGTTGGTCAAAGGAAAATGGACAGATGACAAAATAAGAGGGGACAGCTTTAAAAGGGGCTGCAGAAGCAAATGGGCCTTGGTGCATTTGCACAGGTCATTGAAACTGGTAGGATAGTCGGAGAGTGCAGTGAATAAAAACAAAAGTGAACAGTATCCTGGGCTTTATTATTTGAGATAGAATCAACTGCAAGGAGGACTCGAAACTTGTAGAATATTGATTGGGCCTCAACTGGAATATTGTGTTCAGTGCTGTGTGCCACACTTTTAGAAGGCTGCAAAGACAGTGGAGAAAGTATAAAAAAAGAAAATTCACGAGATTAACTCCTGAGATCAGTAACTTCAAGTACACAAGGGTTGGAGAAGTCAGACTGTTTGAGTTGAAGAGAAGGCGGAGGGTGATGTTTACATTGATACTCAAAATTGTAAATTAAAAAAGGCATGGAGAGAGTCGATGGGGACAGGCTGCTCCCAATGGTGGAAGGGCTAGAGTAGTTACAACTAGTTTGTCTCATGTCCTGTAGGCATACACTTGGATATTTCTAACAAGGTTCATTAAACATTCAGGGGCTCTGAAGAAGAATCACTGAACTTGAAATGTCACCTCTGCTTTCTCCCCATAGATGCTGCCAGATCTGCTGAGTTTCGCCAGCAATTTCTGTTTTTGCTTCCTATCTCTAGCATCCAATTCTTCATTTTATTCTTAAACATTACATCATTGCTTAAAATTACATATACAATGACTGCACTGCCCTTTTCTTCACTTCCTATTTTCCACCAAACCATCAGAATAACATCACAGGAAGAAATCTCTTCATTCAGGGTGGAAAATCTTCAGAATTCTCTGCCCCAGAAGGATGTGGAAGCTTGGCTATTTGGGAAGTTGCAGGATTGATATATTTCTCGTAATTGTTGACAGAAGCATACGGGAATAATCCGGGAATATGGCATTGAGAAAAAGGATCAGCCATGATCTACTACAGCACAGCAAGCCTCAAGGGCTGAATGACTTACAACCACTCGTATGGTCCCTACGCACAAGTAAAATACTTTCACTAACAAATGCTATCTTAACATGATAAATCTCCTCTGCAATAAATGTTCCCA